AGAGAGAGAATTTTTTTAACATTTATTTAGTTTTTCTTAGTTCTTGGTGAACACAACATCTTTGTTGGTATGTGGTGCTGCTGAGGATCGAACCCGGGCAGCACGCATGCTAGGCGAGCGCGCTACCGCTTGAGCCACATCCCCAGCCCCAGGACTTTTTTTCTTAGAGGAAAATAAGATACACTGCAGGCCTTCTGTCTCCCCACAGAGATTAGAACCCCTGCATCTTTTTGTGTTGTTTTTGTGGTACTGGGGACTGAACCCAGGGCCTAGCATACGCTAGGCAAGTGCTCTACCATCAAGCTATATACCAGCCATTGTAGTTTTTGAGACAGGGTCTCACTACATTTCCCAGGCTGGCCTTGACTTTGTGATCCTCCTGTTCCAATCTCCTGTGCAGCTGGGATTACATGTATGTGCCGCCATGCCCTACCACCCTGTCTTTACCCTGAAAAAAGAACTAGAACCCAATCCCCAGGTAAGTGAGAGGCAGCACTCAAATCAGAATCCCAGAGTACTGGGCTATTGTTTCCCAAACTTTAATCCCCCGGAGGTCTTTTTTTAGCCAAATGGAGATTCTGATCCAGAATGTCTGGGGTAGGGTCTGAGATTTTTTTAAAATGCTCCCAGGAGATGCACATGAGGCTTGTCTCAGGATCATACTTTGAGTAGCAAAGACCTAGAATTCAGTCTTTGTCTCAGCCCCAGGGCACTGATCCTTACCTCCTGAGGAAGCCACAGCTACCAGAATGAGGGAATCTTCACGTCCTGCGGGCTCCTCTGAATACTGCAGCTTCTCTGTCACAGAGCCCAGAATGTCCTGCACAGATGCTGAGAGACGGCTACGTATGGTAACGTAAGAGTGGTCAGGCATGTAGACTCGGCAGAAGACTGCACAGAGACAGGAAAGCAGCTTTTCAACACAGGTAGGTACCAGCCCCTTCAGGGCACCTCTGTTCTATACCAGAGGCTGGCCTCTGAAGATAAGTGTACTATCTACTTCCACTACACAGGGAGACTCCTCTGATGGTACTCAAAACTCAGATACCCCACAATCCTCCCGAGTCACTTGGGAAGCCCTGCCTTTTCTAATGGTGATACTTACTCTCATCTGAGCCCCGAAAAGCCACTCGGGTCTGGAGACAGGAATCTATCCGACGGAAATGGCGGAAGAGTGGCTTTACCTGCTTGCTGGGTGGCTGGCTCTCCTCTGGGATCCTGGTACAGACACATGGGGCATCAGCAAGCTCTGCTGAGCATTTGGAATACTAAGCAGGCAACATTAAGCAAGGATATTAGAATTGGGTCAAGGACATACCAGCTCCACTTTCAGAAAGTGGTTAAAGGGATCAGAAGAGAAGACAATGACCAGCATGGGACAAGTGACCAAGTGACTCAAATCAAATGCCACTTTTTCCACCAGTTCTTCTCTGATCCACCCCCCACCAGGAAAGGTCACTTGCTTGCCTCAAATGCTGTAAATATTGGGACAATATTGCTTATGTTCATGTCTTATTTCCTCTATGAGACTGAGAACTTTTGAGGACTGGGATTTGTTCTTACTGAATTTTTTTTTTCCATCCTCCAGGGCCTAGCACACTGCTTGGCACATGGTAGGTAGTAGGCCATTAGATGTTTTCTGAATTTTGCCAACAAGGACTTCACAATCTGGGAGGGAGACAGACGTGCATACAGCTACTTCTAACACCAGGCAGGAGGTATTGGTGATGTGAAAAAGGCACAGGAGAGAGATGTTGAAAGCTATTCCTAAAAGGAGGATCTGTGTGACACTCATGGAGAAGATGGCATTTGACCTAGGCCTTGAAGGACAACAGGAAGTGAAAGAGGTGGGAGGAAGGCATTCTGGGTGTATGATATAAGCAACAACAGGAATCTGGGAAAGCACAGGAGTTGAGAGAATGGTGGGCTATATAGGGAGTGTCAAGGGTAGAAAAAGATGTGGGATATGAGGTGGGAAGGATCAACAGAAGGCAGAAAGAGAAGGGTGTTGAATGCTGTATTCAGATGTTTAGCTTTGTCTTAGAGGTAGTGAGAGAGTGTGGATGCTTTTGGAACAGGAGTGTGATGGTATTGTTTATACAAGTTTGAAATATCTCTCTGTTGTCAATGTAAAGAAAGGGAGAAATATGCAAGGCCACAAGCTGAAGCCCTGAGTAGGAGGCTGCGGCAACAATCCAGGTAAGAGTTGGATGTGGTGGCACACACCTGTAATCCCAGCAGCTCAGGAGGCTAAGGCAGGAGGATTGTGAGTTCAAAGCCAGCCTCGTCAACTTAGCAAGACCCTTAGCAACTTAGTGAAACCCTGTCTCTAAATAAGCTATAAAAAAGGGCTAGGGAGGGCTGGGTTTGTGGCTCAATGGTAGAGCACTTGCCTAGCATGTGTGAGGCACTGGGTTCAATTCTCAGCACCACATATAAATAAATAAAATAAAGGCCCATTGACAATTTAAAAAAATTAAAAAGAATAGGGCTGGGGACATAGCTCAATGATTAAGTATCTCTAGGTTTAATCCCTGGTATCAAAAGAAAAAAAAGAAAAGAAAAGAAAAAAGAAATCCAAGTGAGAGTTAAAGAGGCCTACACAAGGGCCATGGTGGTGGGAATGGAAAAGAGAAAACTGAAAGGGCAGAAGGGATGAAGAAATGCAGTGCTGTCCTGAAGGCAGCTCACGAGTTCAATTTTGAGGGATTTTGCCAACTTATGTTTAACACAGCCATTAAAATATGCAAGTATGTGTGTATAAACACACATTTTATAAACATGTGCTCAAATAAATTATTACATAAAAGGAAGTATGCTAATTGTTTTGGTACAGTTTATTATTATCTGTGCTTTTGAGATTTTTACCTCTAGTGTATCAGTACTGTGGAAACGCTATATAACATCTAGCTACCACACACATCTCTTCTCTATTCCATATTCAATGACATCATGTCAGTAGCTTAAAATCAAAAAACGATGACAGAATTTATGCCATGGAATCAGCAAAAGCTAAGAATCAAGGCTCTTTCTCCTGAGTATTAGTTGTTAAATATTAACTAGTTCACCACTGGATTAACAGGCAAATGGATGGGTGAATGGACAATAAAAATGACTGGACACAGTGCTCTGTATCACCCTTCAGTAAGAGAAAGGGACTAAAATAAAACCATATCAAAGTCAGGTGCAGTGGTGCATAACTGTAATCCCAACTCGGGAGGCTGAGGCAGGAGGATTGCAAGTTCACAGCCAGCCTCAGCAACTTAGCAAGGCCCTAAGCAAGACTCTGTCTAAAAATAAAACATAAAAAGGGCTGAGGATATTGCTCAATGGTTAAGCACCTCTGGTTTCAATCCCTGGTACAAAACACATACTCATACAGACACACATACACACACACACACACACACACATACACAGGACAACAACAACACTATGTTGAGCCAAAGAACCAAAGGTAGCCCCTATAATAGAGGAATTCAGGGGACCTCTTTCCTGACCCCTCCAGCAACCCATTTTCCCTCACTTCAGTTCCACTGTCTCCACAAGCTGGTGCAGCCTCAGTGTTTCCTCTCGGAGGTCTTGGTAAAGGGATTCATCCTTCATAATCAGCAGGTACAGATCCTGAGAAGAGGAGGACAGGGGTTTCATTCCAGGTACTGCTTTCTGCAAGGGCCGGGGCAGGGACTCCATGCCTTTGAGCATAGAAGAACCATATCATCCAAGACCCAATGACATCTTTTGCTTCCAGATACCCAACTTGAGGAGTATGTCTCCTTCAAAAGGGCTTCCTTCCAGAGCTAATAGCTTGCTCACCCACCTTTTCTTCCCCAGGCCCACCTTGATGATGTGGCCGGCCCCCTCTTCCTCCTGTAGCAGCCCTTGGTAGGTGTCCAAGAAATGGAGTAGCATGGCTAGACAGGCCTGCTTCCGGCCTAGCCCCTCAGGGCCCTCCAGGACCCCTGCCCGAACAAAGCTGACCCCTAAGTCAAGAAAAAGCCATGGACAGGCAAGCCTGAGGAAATTGGGAAGGGAAGCAATGGCAGGCTAAACTACCCCCAAATATTCTCTAGGAGCCAGGGGTCCTGGAGCCAAGACCTTCTCCTGTGCCAGCCCAGGTTTTTGCATAGAATAGGTAGTGATGGCATCCACCTGATCACATCCATTTCCTGTTAGCTTTTCACTTACGAATACCCTGCCCAAGACCCATCCCATCCTCTGGCCAGCCCAGGGCCCAGAGCTTACAGTTGCACCCCCAAACCTAACTTTATTGCTTTGTGAGGCTTGATGTTGGTAAGAGAATCTAAGACATTCTACTTACTCAGTGACCTGACATTAAGAATTAGGTTCTAAAATAACTCAGTGAAAGGCTATCTGCTTATATGAGATCTAATGAACAGGCTGGCCGTGGCTCATCTGTACTGGCCAGGGTCTCCTACTGAAGCCCAGCCAAGACCTGATGTTGACAGCAGCCTCTGTAATAATGCACTGGACAACCAGATGTTTAGAAGAATAATTCAGTGGGAAGAGAGGCACCCTTATTAGGATAATAACACCTTACATCTATACAGGTCTTTGCAGTTGCCAAAGAACTCTCACATCTACTATCAGATTGATCTTTGCAGCAGGCCATAGGTAGGCAGGGCAGGTATTATTTACCTCCATTTTACAGAAGAACTGGAAGCCCCTGGAGGTGAGGTGATCTACCTAAAGAGACACAGCTGGTGAACTGAAAAGCTGGGTATATTTTCTAGGGGAGAGCTTGGGCTCTGATGTCACATGTGGGATGGAGAAAATGGGCTGCCTCCTGGCCTATCTTTTACAAATTCCACAAAAGGATATTACTGATGTAGTTCCTGTAGAAATTTCTCCGTTGGGAGGAAGAGGGAGTGGGTAAGTACGATGTCATCAAGCAAGATATCTGTGGAGATCAATGGGTGCCACGAATGTCAAAAGGGCACTTCTAGGACCAGACTGGAAATCCTGCACTCCTTCTCTGGCCTCCAAGGGCAAGTTCTCTTTAGGCAGGCTGGAGCCCCGGCCACCTGCCTTGTCATGCTCTGCACACGTGCACACACATGTGTGAAGATCCTGGGCAGCTGTCGCGGGGGTGGGGCTGGCAGCTGCCAAGGCAGCTGGAGGGAAGGAGGTGTGCCTTTGACAGCAACGCATACTTCTCTTTGGTATATGTGGAAAGTTGGTCAGATAGCACACCAAGCCCGAGAACTGCCTGAAAAATGAAGTAGCCCACAGAAGGGTCTCTAGACAAAGAGAACTTCCAAACAGAGAGGTTAGGGTCAGTGGTATGTGTGTGTATCCCTCCTCCCCTCCTTGCTCCCTACCTCACTACTTTGAGTTCCACCCAGACAGGTGGGAACCATTAAAATGGAGAGGGAGGGACTGCCATCTCTTTGATCTCAGAGGCTTTAAATAGAAAGCTTGCGTACTCTAGATGTCCAGAGATGCAAGGGTTAATGATGGAAGGGTGGAGGGGAGGGGCTCCTCTCACCACCCTTTTCCCTTCCACACCCCTGTCTGGGCCTGGCTCAGCCAGTCAGCCGGGTACAAGGTCGCCCTGACTCGCAGCCAGCCCTGGGGTGGGGCAAAGCCTCCTGGCACACACAGGCAGGGCACAGGGAGGGAGCCAGGTGTCTTCACCAGGACAGGTTAGGGCCAGGTCCCCAGGCACTGCTCCAGGACAAAACCAAGGCTTCTGACAGACCTTGGCTCACCATCTCAGGCCATCAATTCTAGCTATGAAGATGTAGAAGAACCAACACAAAATCATCTATTTCAACCATTTTCATTTCACAAATGAGAAACTGAGGTCCAGTGCTAGAAGGGACTTGCCTGGAGCTGGAAGAACCCCGATTCCTGCATCTTTGCTCTTTTCTCAATATGTTGGAAGAAGGGCAAAGTGTCAGGGTAGAACCTAGTGGTCAGATGGGGCTGCCCAGATGTTCAAGAGGCTCTGGCTAGGTGTGGAGGACCTTCTGTAAGCCCTTTCCTCCTACAAGCCCTGGGAGGAAACCAAAATGGCTTGAGAACATGGGTTATAATGGAAGTATCAGGGTGGCAGTTTAAGCTGATTCTCAATTCACTCTGGGACTGGTTTGGGCTTTCCCAAACCAGTTACTCTGGGGATCCAGCCTGCTTGGCCAGATAATATGGGTAATAATCAATTCAGGAGCCTCACCCCAGGAGAGAGAGCAGAGTCTGTAGCACCAGCCCCCTGTGGAAGGGCAAAGACAGTTTCTCCCTTTTCCTCTTTACCTAGCCACACTGCTATATTCTGAAGTAAGTCAGAGATCTCTCAGCCCTGACCCCCAGCTCCAGGAACAGTGACTAGGAATAAGGAGGTCTCTTTATCTCACAGGAAAGCAAAGACAGAGCAAAAGAGGAGCATGGGACAGAGTGGGGGAGATGCTGATATGGGGGCTATAGTTTGGCATCTGTCTCTTCCAAAGCAGGCTCTGGTCCAATGCACAGCCTCCCCAGGGAATGTGTCATAGAGACACAGGGTGTGTGGTGTAGGCGGGAAGTTATGGTTAGGAGAGCTGTGTGTGTCTGATATTTTTCTAATTAAATCCAAAAGGTGTCAGCTCCCCAGGGCAACTGTAGCCTGAGCCAAAAGAGAGGACCCAGACCTTGAGAAAAATCTAGGGGAGGTGTCCCACTCCACACACCTAGGTTGGAGTTCCTTGCAGAGGGCTAAGAGCAAAGTGTAATCCCTCACCCATCTTTAGGGTCTCAACTTGGGCTTCAAACCTCAGACCCTCCTATGCTTCATGCCTGTCAAGAGTTGGACCTAAGAGTCCGAGATCTTCTGCCTCAGCACTAACCAGTAATTTGGGACTCAGTTTTCTTAAAGGCCCCTTAGTAAGGTGCTCATGGGGAGGGGTGGAATAGCATCATCATTTAGGGAATAAGCCTCTCAGGGTGTGGTTATTATTTTTTAAAGCAGCCAAGAGCAAAGGCCTGACACCGGAAGGGTGGGAGCCAGAAAAGCCCCAACTCCCCTGGATGTTGCAGGGCCCTGATGCACAGGCCCTGATGCTGAGACCCCTTTCTTCACAAACACTGTCTGAGTCCATCCCCAAATAGAATGCTTGCCCCTACCAAGCTGCTAAGGAAGATGCCTTTGCCTAACCCCCAAAGGCAGTTTGGGCCTTGTCCACGCTGATTTATCAAGTGGGCTGGCCTGTGCTCTGGGGCTTTTACACAGTCAGGGACTCCTGTCAGGTTTTTCAGGCCTTGGGCACGTTTGGAAGGCAGCACAGGTTGAGCTCAGAAGCTTCCATTTTAATATGTCAGGTCCCCATTTAAGGGCACAGGAGGAGGCAGTCAACAGCAGGGACCCATGGGAGATGGTGGCTAAAATGTCCAGAGGAGGGGAAGGGTAGCTAAAGGAGAGGAGGCTCAGCTTCTTCCCTGGTGGGTGAGACAGCTACGGGAATGAAGGTGGGCACTGCTGCTCCTCTTGTGCTTGAGACAGGGTCTGGGGCTTAGCTCAGTCCCTACCTGGTTTAGGGGGAGCCCTCAAATCCACACCCAGGCTCAGGGCCATTCCCACTCTCCAAGGGCAAGAAGAGGAATCAGGGGCACCCCCTGCTCTGGGATGGATGAGCCTGTGGACTTCTTACCTGAGGCGCCGCTGTCCCTGGTGGCCCCTCCAGCCAGCCGTTCCAGAACCCGGTTCAGAAGATGCTCAGGCAGCTCAGGAGCGCCCAGGGGCGCCCAGGGCGGTGAAGTGAGGGGCTCGCCTGGGGACAGTTCATCTGAGGAATACGAAGAAGGGGAGCGCAGGGGTCCCCCGCCCCCGAGCGACCCTGGCCCTGGCACCTCCTCTAGCTGTAGCCAACAGGGTCCCCCGCTGACCGGCTCCTCCGCGACCCCCGCAGGCTCTCCCCCTTCTTCCTCAGTGGGCGGTTCCAGCCCTGGCTCGGCGGGGGGCTCCCGGAGGAAAGCTGGGAGCAGCAGGCGAGACACGCTCTGACGCCGCTGCAGCGGCCGCGGTCCCCCCGCTGGACCGCCACCCCCGCCAGGTCCCCCACCCCCTCCAGGCCCGCCGCAGCTCCCCGGACCCCCGCCGGGACCTCCTGCCACCGTCCGTCCCGCCAGCTGCGACGTTTGCTTCTTCAAAAATTTCTCCAGAGGCTTCATACCCCCCCCCGCCCCTCTCCTAAGGGCCGCCGGGGGACCCAGGTGTCCCAGGCGCGGGCGGGGGGGGCAGGAACGCGATGCTCAGAGCCGGAGGAGCAGAGCAGAGGGCCGTGCCAGGCGCCGGACTGGGGACTAGAGGTGGCCGAGGCTTGCTGGCCGAAGTCCAGTGGCCAGTGGCCAGGGGAGGTGCCAGAGGGAAGGAGTGCCCGCTCTCAGTGGCTGCCCATGCCGGCTGCAGCCGAAGGGTGAGCAGGCAACGGGGCCAGTGCCCCGGGTTCCGCGCCTGGGCCGGGCTGCGGCGGCAGAGGCAAACCGCCCAGCCCAAAGACCAGGGGGCCTCCGCCTGCCTCCGCGGCAGCTGGGAAGGTGGCAGAACAGAGACCGCGCCCCCTTCTCTAGTCCCTGCCCAGTCCCCGCCCCTTTCCCGCCTCTACCATCCCTGAGTCCGTCCCCCCGGGCCGCGCGAGGCTTGAACTTGGGTGCTGGGGCTGACCATGAAGGAAACAGGGGCTTGGGTTCAGAGCAGACGCAGAATTTAAAGGCAAAGGCGAGGGAATGACTTAATAACGGAGAAGGATTCCTGGTTTATGGAATTACTGGGTCTCTTAGCATCATTTCAAATAGCCAGACATGGTCTGTAGCCTGCACTTGGACTCACCTACCTGTACAGTACAGGTGAGACCTACAAAGATTGCTGAACCCTGCACACCTCTACCATTCTCACAGGAATAATACCTGGTCTTTAACTCCAACAAGAAAGGCTAGGAAGCCCTCTTGGGTGGATTGGCTTTGGCATTGGGGGCGGTGCCCTTCTGCCCTCTCTAGTGGGGCATAGTAGGTGGTGCAGGGCTGGCCTGTGAGGCAGGTACTGGCAAGCAAGTAAGAGCCAGGTAGAGAGCAGCAGGTTGTGGCAGGTCTAGTTTGGGTGAAAAGAAATAGTAGGCAGAAGGGAGGAGACCAGGAATATGAGGGCACCTGAGCCCACTGGTAGAAGGAAGCAGGACCACAGAAATGGGTGACAAACCCACCTGCCAACTAACATCATCAAGCACACCAAGCACAGTGTTACATAGCAATAGAATGGGAATAGTGTATTCAGATTGCATTCCAAATAATCCTTATTCCTAATGTTCATATCAAGAGCCTCCTGTCCCTAAGGGTACACCCCACCTCAACCCCCCAGGAGGAGAGTGATAGAGACAGTGTGAACACATCCAGGTAAAGTTTTCAAGGTCAAGGGAGTGGCACCCTGTTCCAGCTGGGTTGAGGCTCCTTGGACAATGCTCCACCCGTGTACTGTGCACTAGCCAGGCAAGGATAGGAATGCTAATAGCTGGGAGTGGTGGTGGTGGAACTGACAGGGTGTATACTACACTCATGTCACTGTATGTGCATATCTAGTCCCATGTGTGCTATGGCATGTGTTCACAGAAATAAAGCTCTGCACACCCATCTGGGGATTTGGAGAGGGAACAATAAAAAGAACGAACCCAATCACGGCTAAGAAGCTAGGTCTGAGTATCAGTTTCCTGGGCTCCGTTTTTTTGGACATCCCAGTATCTCTCAGGTTGAAAGGGGAAACTGGCTGGAGTGGCTTGGAGCTCCCCAGGTAGTTTTTTATGATCCAAATAGGAAGAGGAGAGGGCTTCTCTCCCAGCACATGCCACAGTTACCAGATTAAGCCGGTTGCCTTGGTAACCTCCTCTCTGGGCAGGATTTGGGATTGTCAGTAGGGTGAATTGGGGAGTGTGGAGGGTGTGGGAGCTGTAAATAAAATGGACTGACTTCTGGAAACTAAAAGGTTGGGGGACAGGACTCCCCCCTCCTCCACCGACAGTTACTCAAGGACACCAGGTAATGACATAAAGTTCAAGACCTTAAATCCAGGAAATGGTCCTCCTGGAGCAGTAGTGCTTTCCACCTTTTATTGCACACTGAAATCACAGGAAACTATAGAAATACTGATGCCCAGGCCACACCCCAATCAATTAAATGAGATGAGGAAGGGCCAAGCTTGTATTTTTTAAAAGCTCTCCAGGTGATTAAAGTAATCAGGGTTGAAAATCACTGCCCCAGAGGTACAACCCAGTCTTAGTGAGCTGTAGATGCTGAGATGACTCTGGGATTCCAAAATTTTGCAGTTTTTGAGTCACCCACAAGGTAGCAGGCCTGTGTGCTGACCAACTGGGGGAGTGTTGGTAAGGCACCTGCTTTCATGGTTAAAATAAAGAGAAAAGTAGAATGATATGAATTACAACCGAGAGGTGGGGGCCAAAAAGTTTTAACTGAGAACTTAGCCTCTGGGTGTCTAGAAGGGGGTTGGGTAGGGCTATCTAAGGCTGATCTGTCTGCCCCTTGTACTCCACTTCTTTCTGCCCACCAAGAAGCAGGCTGGGAGGGCAGAGAAAACCTGGGGGCTTTGCTGAGCTTGAGTTTCTTCTTGCAGAGCTGGTTACCAGGGCAACAGAGAGCAATGGGATCTAACTGCAGGACCAGGGAAGCAGGAGGCAGGGGTGAGGGGGAAGCATCTCAACAATCTTGTTCCTCCTACTAGTAACCCACCCCCAAGATTGGTTGGCATTCTTTGCATGACCCTGGAGACCAGGCCTACAGATATCATCATCATCATGTGGGGGAGAAGGGAAGCAAAATGACAATGGATGGGCTCAGAAAATTCATGGTTATCTGGCCATAGCAGCAGCATTGAGGTGTGGGGGAACTTCCATCTGTCGTTTTAAGATACACCAGAATATCCATGTCCCCAATATAAGCCTTTCTGGAACTCCAGGACAAAAACTCCACGTCAAATTCTCCCATACCAGCAAACTTCCATCCTATCCAGACCTGGAAGCAACAGTCAATTCAAAGCTGGGAATCATCCTGTGTGCACCAGGGGCCCAGGTAAAGGGCAGAATGATCCACAGATGGTAGTGTTTTGAGTTTCCCTTCCCCTTACCTGTATTAAGACTGATAGGAACCTCTCCCTTATATTGTGGTCCGAAATTCTTAAGTGCCAATATCTTTACTTTTTAGAAAGACACAAAAGAAGGCATAGATGTTCACATGGGCTGTTTTATTGTTCATGACACTTCCAAATGAGGGACTCCATGATATCCTGATACCTATGTGGTAATGTAAATGTGGTTTTCTTATCAGAAAAACAGAAGTGACGGGGAGCACAGACATACTTAGGGCCTCCTAGAGGCTCTCACCTTTCTGGGCTTCCATTTCACAAGTCTGAGCTGGCTTGGGTTGTCTCCATGGTAAGTGGTATGAGCCCAGTTTTCTATAACCACAGGAGCCACCACAACTTTGTTTTTTTTTTGGTGGTGGTGCTGGGGATTGAACCCAGGGCTTTGTGCATGCAAGGCAAGCACTCTACCAACTGAGAAGCTACATTCCCAGCCCTTGGGTTGTGACTGTGAATCTGTGAGGGATTTAGCAAGTCCTCTTCATTTCCTCCCAAATTAATACTCACACAAAACACTGGCAAGGTAGCCAAGTTTATAGTCTAAATTTTATTATCTCCAAGTCATAATGTTGATCACAAATGTGCACCCTTTAAAACAGTAACAACAACAACAACAACAAAAAAAAAAACAGCAACAACATGGAGAAATCCTTGCAACTAAACATAGTGGACAGACAGAAAACTGTCACAGTGTCTTAAGGTCTGGGAATCTGGGCATGCTGCCCACAGACTTGAGGAGACATCTTCAGGTTTAAGGCAAAGGGAAGCCTACAAAAGGCACAACCACCGGCTACCCCCGGAAGGAACCTCTTAGTTATTTCCTCCTTGGGGGTTACAGCTTAATTGCCTCTCCTCCTTCCTGATCCCACACCGTGACTCAGTGGCTAGGCCAGCTGCTGGAGGGAAGGAGTAAGAATAGACAGTGACATTACTAGGGGAACCTTCTCCCTCAGGTTCTGTAGAAGGACAGGGATAGTGGCCAAGTTCCCCCTGGCAGACACAGTGCTGCAATAACAGGAAGCTATCCCGCAGAGGCAGCAGGTTGGTGCCATGGAGAGGACAGAAGGGAGAGCCCTTGCCCAGAAGGTGACTGACTGGCTTCCTTAGGCCTTAAGCCCAGGTGCCATATCTTCTGTTTGCAAGAACAGGACAACTGGGGGAAGTAACACCTAAAACACTTGTAGCAGGAAAATTATGGAGAAGAGCAATTGCAAAGGACAAGGTAGACTGCTTGCTGTATTTGCCTCTAGAGAGATGCATTGGTCCATAGCAACTGAGAAGGGAGTGGGGTAGGAATGGAAAGAAGAGAAGCAGGGTCCTCTAATTCCACTAACCCCAAAGTCTGAGTCCTGAGGACTGTGTGAATACATTCCCCTAAGGTGCAAAGGCTCTCACTCGATCCTCTTTCCTTGAAAAAGTATCTGGTTTGCCATTTCTCCCCACAGTAGAGACTTTGCCCTCAGTAGAGGACTGAAGCCTACCAGAACACAGGTACTGTTTGAAGCTCAGACTTGTAAAACCTAAATCAAAAGAGGGCTCCTACTCATCCACTCTGAGCTTTTCTCCACAAAGGGACACTGTGTGTAGACAGCTTTGTTTCCACAGGGTTAGAGGAGTTAAGAGAATTCAAGTATACAAGAGAATAACAAAGGCCCACCAAAAATGAAAGGCCAGCTCTTTTTACACTTGGTTGATACATTCTCAATTATCTGGGATGCAGGAAAGAGTCAAAGGGAACCCAGAGGGGCTAGAAAACCAGAAGAATGAACTTGTTTCATTTAAAGGCAGAGAGAGAGAAAGAAACAGAAAAACTAAAAATATTAATTTAAAAATAGCAAGCCGGGCTTTAAAAACAAACATTTTAGGAAACAAAACAAACAGGCAGGAACTTCCCTGGGAGAAGACACTTAAATTTCCCAGGAGAAAATTAAGAAGAGCAAGACTTGGGCTTCTGAATCTATCCTCAGAAGCCTGGGCTGTCTGGGTCTCGGCTCCCCTGAGCACAGACAGCTCAAGTGAAGAGCGGAGGTGCGAGGAGGTCACCTGTTTCTCCTCTCTTCAGCAGAGCCTGTCCTCAGAGGAAGAGGGCTCCTCCTCCTTCAGATGCCTGCTGGTAGGGCCATCCTATACCTTTGAAGCCCTCAGGGTGGTAGATAGCCAGTTGAATTTCTCTTCCCTCCTGAGATCTCATCTCCGCTGATCTTGAGAAAGGGAAGAACCAACAAAATGTTAGTGAACCTCTGGACATTTACAAACTGTTCTCATGAAGCCACATTCTAAATAATGCGGTTTTGTTCTGTTTTGTGGCACTAAGGATAAACCCCAAGGCCTTGCACATGCTAAGCAAT